GTGTGAAGACAAGTTAGGGAAACCGCATGCGTATACAGTGCATTCAACACTACATTGCTTGCTACAGTCAAAGAGGATTTCGCACCTGTAGGTAAGAAGACTCTCATCTAAAGTGGCTGAAGGTTAAAAGCTATAAATTCTGTGATGAACATTCCAGCAACTCAAAGGTGATGCAGTCATTTCAATTCCACGTGTAACTGGATTTGCTGCTTGCTCATTTTTTTTCTATCAGATAAAGGAGAACATAACGAGGTTCTTATGAAAGTGTGTGTGTGTGTGGGGAGGGGGGGGGGAGATGGAGATGTATCCTTCGCCATCCGTGCCTCTGCACACACGCATACACGTTCGAGTCGAAATACAGAATCATGTGCGTATTTCACAAACGCACACGCATCCGGGAACACAGCAACGCATATAACATCCCAGATTAAAAATGCAAAAGCCGTATTACACGTGTAGCGGAGCCAATCCCGCTCACAGGATATCACCGGCTATTAATCATTCGGGAATTAACTCATTCAGGAATTAACTTCTCCGTATGAGCTGCATGGGAGGGATTTTTGGTTGATCACGTGAATGTCTCCATTTCTCCCTTTTCGTGCATTTCATGTAGAGGCGAATTTACGGAATTCGTTTTCATGTTATTGTGTAAAGTTGCAGTTCAAAAGAGATAACAGAATGTGCATATTGTAATTTGAATATTAGGAAACGTGTTTTAACTCTGATGAAAACATTGGTCGCCTTCTTGGGTAAGGGTGAGGGAGGGAGAGGGAGAGGAACAGTAAAGAAGAAGGAAGGAGATGTAGTGGAATAATGGAGGAGAGGAAAGAAGAAGAGAGAGGAGAGAGAGAAAGAAGAGCGAGCGGAAGTGATGAAGAGAGAGAGAGAGAGAGGGAGAGAGAGAGAGAGAGAGAGAGAGAGAGAGAGAGAGAGAGAGATGGATTGATAGATAGACAAAAAGAGAGAGAGAGAAAGAGGGAGATGGATAGATAGATAAATAGATAGGTAGATAAATAGATAGATAGAGAGAGAGAGATAGAGAGAGAGATGGATTGATAGACAAAAAGAGAGAGAGAGAGATGGATAGATAGAAAGATAGACAGAGAGAGAGAGAGAGAGAGAGAGAGAGAGAGAGAGAGAGAGAGAGAGAGAGAGAGAGAGAGGAAGACGGATAGATAGCTAGATAAAGAGATAGATAGATAGATAGATAGATAGATAGATAGATATAGAGAGAGAACAAAGACGAAGAAGGAAGGAGAGCGGAGAGCAGCTGAAGGAGAAGGACTGAAAGTCGGAAAAAGGTTGAAAGGAAAACAAGAGGGAAAGGGGACGAAAAGAGAGGAAATGGGGAAGGGGAGAAGGAAGTAAAACGAGAGAGAGAGAGAAGGGAGAGGAATAAGGGGAAAGCAGACCGAAGAAAGAGAGCAGAAGGAAATCAATTAATGAGGAATAGGAGATGACGATTGGTGGAGGATAGAGACAGAGGGGAAGAAAGAAGGGAGTGAAAAAGAGGAGAAAGAACAACGAAAGAGAGGAGAGAAAAAAAAGAAGAAAGAGAAAGAGAGAGATGTTAAGAAAATGC